CCCCCCCCCCCCACTTGCACTCAAAAAGACTATTTTTAGCCCTCTTCTAGGTCAAAATTTCAGAAAAGTTGTCAATTTTCCGTGAAGGTGGGGGGGGGGCGGCGTCCCCGCCCCACCAAGATATCCGCCCCTGCCAAACAGATATTCCTAATGATCTCTTGTAAACCAACCAATCGACTCGCACAATTTTGTCATGTGTCACACATTTTTTACCTAAACCTTTACTGTAAGTTCTCATGACTTAAGGTCTCATCACTTCATAGTATTATGATGGATAAGAATCGCTGTCCATTTCACATGATTTCTAAAAAGTATTTCAATTAGCTCTTTCTTTTGGAAAGACAAGACTATGTATATTGTTCATCTTTAGTTGTGATTTTTAAGCACTTGAATTATAAGGGTGTCTGAAATTCAGACACCAGCTATTTTTTAATAAATTCAACAATGCGCGATTTCCTGTCAATTTCTTTCAATTTTGCGGAAAATGTGCAAGTTTGGAAAAGTTCAAAATTCTTTGGAACCAGGGGCGTAGGAACACATTCGAGATTGGGGGGGGCGAATTCCTCGAGGCGCCACCATGGTTGGCGCCGAGCGGAAAATTTTTTGAAAATTAGAGGCTCTAGATCCTTGGAAATGGCCATTTCAGAGCCCTATTTAGCCATATCAGTTTCGAATTTCACTGCATTTATTGTAAATTGAGTAAATTCAATGATTTTTGGGGGGGGGCCGAAAGCTATTTGGAACACGCTAACAACACCATTAAATATTTATAAATTTTCTTAATCTTGTAGAATTTCCAGAATCTCTGTCTCACAATGGACATGCGTTTCAGCAAATTACTCGAACAACTCCTGTTTGCTGTGGAATGTGTAAGCAATAATTACATCATATTGTTCTGAACTTATGTGGAATTATGTGATATTGTTTTGTCGAACAATTAACATGCACCAGTTTGTAGTACTGCATCACTGCATTGGTTAACACTACCATAATCGTTCAGACCTTTGGAAAGAAAGGGTGCAGGTTGTTTTCTATCATGTACCACTGAGAGTACCACTGAGCCTAGGTTATGGGAAGAGTATTACTTAGGATCGATCGGTGATTACTATATTGATAAAAGTCTTATAACTGGAGTTTTGTTCCTAGATCTACGGAAAGTATTTGACACCGTTGACCATGAAATCGTAATAATTGACAAACTAAAACTGTATGGAATTACAGGGGGTACCCTAAACTGGTTTATATCTTACTTAGATAAAATATGTGCAAAATGTGAAGTAAATAATGTTATTAAGTCGTCTAGAAAATTAATTGAATGTGGGGTTCCTCAGGGATCAAATTTAGGACCTCTCCTATTTCTGTTATACCTGGGGCCGGTTGTATAAAAAAGTGATTAAAGTTAACTGTAGTTAAGTGGAAACGTCATCCAATAAGAAGCGCCTATTTGAGAGTTAATCACTATTTAACTAATCACTATTTAACTACAAAATAGTGATTAAAAAAGTGATTAAAAGTTTTATACAACCGGCCCCTGTCAATACGCATTTGATCGGTTAATCTGGTAGGTTAAACGCATCTGATTGGTTAATGGTGGCGGTATAGTTGAAGTCAAAATCTGAACCTCTCTAATAAGCTTTCAAAACAATTACATCTCAGTTGCGTCTCTTAAAATTCAGCACTCGGGTGCAAGAAAGGATTATGATTAATATATAGCATTCCTTATCTTCATACACGTTTATTCATCCTGACAATATCCTGTGGCTGAAGTATTAGAAATGCCGAGACGTTGAATTGCTTCAGGAATAGAATGCTGAAATATCTGTATGAACTATAAATTTATTTTCGCGTTCAATGCTGGTCTTTGGAGGGGAATCGGGATTGGATTCCCCTCTTGGGATTAGCAGTGTTTACGTAAATGTGAATGTTTATTATATATAAATTTTATTCTCCAGGAGACATCCTTTATTTTTCCTGTTTAATCGTTCTTTTGTAAATAGAATAGTGGTAATAGTGACAAAATTAATGAATTCCTATTAATCCTTTATTTTTTTATTAATTTTATTTTTCAACCGATTTATTTAGGTTCAGATTACATTTGGGGAAAGCAAAAGTTACTGTATCAATGTCTAAGTAAGTTACCAAACATTATTTAATTAAATGAAATTGTATTATTCTTTGATGGCAAATTTGAACCAAAACTTGAGCTAAGTTACAGACCGTATAAGGCTAGTTCATTATATACGTAAACGTCGACAATTTAAGTTGCTATTCATTTCATTGTTTTGTATTATTCCTTTTTCGATTTTTAAAAACGGTTTTATCAACTTATTTGACCTATTGGCTATTTGTTTCTTGACCATACCCATTTCAATCCTATAATTGGCGCTCCATTATGCATCCACCTCTGGTTATTACATATACGGTAAGCAGCTTAATGCAAGTCCCCAAGAACGGTCGTTTTATAAAGGTTCGAAGGTAGCAAAGTACCAAATCATGATATCCAGTTATTACTTTTCCCAATCCGATATATTATTCAAAAAAAGGAGTATGTTCTAGCCTGTTACCTTATGCTAGGACCGCTTCACCGCTGTCTAGCCTTGATCAAATTCTTTAGCCAGCACATACATGCTACATGATTATCACTTGGTTCCTCCAGTCCTTGTAGCAGCCCACATGTTGAGACGGTTGAAGTCATCCACCTTCATATAAGCTGATTCGTTGAACTCGGTGTTAGGCCAGGGCTCAAAATAACGTTTCATGTTACGCAGCTCGCGGCGCTCTTAACTTCAGTTGTGACTGTCGATTCAGTATAATTGACCTTATGCATAATGACGTCACAAGGCTTGATGCCCGCGAGGAATGCTGGTCTTAGTAGTCATCGCCCGGGAAAATTAAACAATTCAAAATGGCCACTATCGAAAGTTTCCCGGGCGAAGACTACTAAGACCAGCATTCCTTGCGGGCATCAAGCCTTGTGACGTCATTATGCATAAGGTCTATTATAACACAAAGTTTTAAATATAAACTTCGTCATATCTTAATTTGGTCTATTACACGGCAAAAAACGCCGAGCCCGCTGTTTAACAGGATTGAACAATGTTTTGCTGCCCACGTTGTTCACACTTGTCAACAATATTGAACAATATTGAACAATGTTGTTGAGCCTTAATCGGGTGTAACAATATTGTTCAATATTGTTGACAACTATGAACAATGTGGGCAGCAAAGCATTGTTCAATCCTGTTTTCATCAGTATTGCAACAACCTGAGCGTTTTTACGCGTGTATAAGTTGTCTGACCAGCAGTTGGCATAAGAAATTCAACAACTTAAATTCGAATGAAATTTAATACGAAGAAAATCCTTACATAATATTTAACGGGTCCACAACAGCACAAAAATCAATCTCTTTCCCAGAGCCAAAATGTAGTCAGTCACTATGACCGGCGTCATAAAAATTTGTCCGGTTATAACAAAAATTTGGCCGGTCATTGACCGGTAACCGGCCGTTATTTTGAGCCCTGTACTGAAGGCATCTATATGATGACAGCTCCAGACCATGTGTAACTCAGACTAGCTCTGGACCTTTTCCGGCCATGTTTGGTTTGCGGTCATTGGGTTCATCATATATTCTCGAAACTTGTCAAACCACACCACTCATCAGCCTTTTAGATCTTATTTGATTTTCTGTAGCAATGCAATTTTACTGTCTCACTCTATCACTAAGCACTTTCTTACAGCATGCAGCAGATCATTTCACTTGATATGTGCCAAGGACAGTGGTCAATGCTCGGAAGTTCCAACGAGCAACGAGGACGAAAGTCCGTACGACGTGCTAGCGAAGGTACGTTGTGATGTTCAAAATTCTTAGTTTAATTCATAAGAAATATTGACATCAGTATGTACATGTACTCTAGCGGTATATTTTATCCCATAGATATCAGCGATACTGTACTAATCTGTCTAATCTGCTAATTAGTCTAATCTGCTAATACAATAACCCTGTACATTCAGCCAGGGGGCCTGCAGACGAATGAATATATGCTTGATAGTTGAAAAAGTCTTCATCAAATTGTGGGTGGCGGTGTACGTATATCGAAAGTTAAACTATTGTGTATCAAGTTTTTGCAATATGCCTGAACAACATAGAAATGATATTCTGACGTCGAAGGTTAAGGAGAACTAACACTGAAGAGTCTTTGATGATGATTCATTTTGAAATTTCTGACCTATATATAACTGTAATGCATATTTGAGTCTTATAAATTTCGTTCCCAGGGTCCGGATGAATGGTCTGTTGAAGATGTGATATTCTGGATGGCTGCCACCAATCTATTTCAATACGCACACCTGTTCTTATCGTATTCAATGAATGGCAGAAAATTGCTGGGTTTGGATGACACCACGCTTGCACATTTTGGAATACATGATGAGTTTCACAGGAAAATGATTCTGAGTTGCATGAATGAGTTAATTGGCAATTCTGAAACTGTAAGTCTACACCATATTCATTAAATAAGCAGAATATACTACGATGTTGAGATATATACATGAACTTGTCAATGTACACGATATTTTTTCCCAGATTAAGGCTGTGCTCGAATATTTTGTCTCATTTTTATGCTGCCTGCGTAAAACAAGGCAGTATATCCTACCTAAACAAGATAAAAAGGTGTAATCAACTTTCGTTATTTAAATTTTAGAGGAAACCAAGAAAAGCGCCCGGAATGAAAGTGGGTATAAAAGGTACAAACTGAAAGGAATTTCTAATTGTATTCCCTTAATTTTTTTTGTGCATATGCTGTGCTCACATCAGTAATGTTGGTTCACTAAATTCGTAACTTTTCGTTCGGGTTAGTGGATGATGGTTCAGGTTGCTCCCGAGCCAAAATTTGGATGTGAATTTACAATAAACTGTATTCCTGTACCCTTACAAACCTGTCCAAGAAATCAGGATAATAAAACATCACAGTTGCCTATTTTAGCTTTAATAAACGCTCGGTCCCTTGTTTCGAAAATTGATTAACTTTTTGCATGTTTGGACGTGAACAACATTGATATCGCTGCAGTCACAGAAACCTGGTGTCATAAAGATATTGCTGACGAACTTGTGTCTCTTGATAGCTATTGCTTATACCGTCGTGATCGGGAGTATGGTCGCGGAGGTGGTGTTTGCTTGTATGTCTCAAATTCCATCTGCAGTAAACGTCTTTTTGATCTTGAAGATACTCAATATGAGTGTTTCTGGATTTGGTTACGACAAAACCGACTCCCTAGGCCGCTATCAAGCATTGCCATTGCGTTGTTTATAACCCACCGGATCGAGGCGTATACGATCAGCGTGAACTAAATGAATATTTATCCTATTCTATTGACTCCATTCGCAACAAATACTCCCATTGTGGCATACTGGTTTTGGGGGATTTTAATAAATCAAACATTTCAGTTTTAACCACAAGGCAAAACCTCAGACAAGTAGTATCCAAACCCACCCGGAACGAAGTAATACTTGATCTGATTTTAACTGATTTCCATACGTTTTACAACGACCCAGAAATTATTGCACCACTTGGATCGTCTGATCACAATGTTGTAGTATGGTCACCGTTTCTTGTCCATGCTGGAAGAAATAATGTTAGTAACAACAAAAACATTAAACGTTCTGTACGTCGCGTTATTCACGAGCAGCACTTAATACCTTTCGTCGTTGGGCTAGCACGCATGAATGGTTTAAGACAGTTGGACCCGACCCCACGTCAGATAAACTTAGCCGAATGTTTTACGCCGCAGGTAAAGAACGCCTTTGATTTGTACTTTCCATTGAAACAAGTAAAGTTTCACGGAACTTATAAACCATGGGTAACACCATACATCAAAGAATTTGTTAAAAAGCGGCAAAAAGTCTACTCGTCAGGTAATTTACAGCAGTGGAAGACTTTACAAAACAAAGTCAAAGAAGAGATCAGTAAAAGAAAGAAAAACTTTTGTGCTGACAAGACTAGGTTTTTTTTTTGCCGAAAAATGATTGCAAACGGTGGTGGGACATCGTCAATAAACTTTCTGGCCGAAATAAAAAGTCAACGAACATACCGCTGAATCGTGATGGGAAAATATTGTCTGAAAGTGAATTGGTTTCAAACCTAAACATTTTGTTTTACCTCGGTGAACGCTGACATTCCACCATTGGACGTTTCATCACTTGCTGCATATCTTCCCTCACCCGACGTTCCACCTACTATCTTCCCATATCAACTTTGTCAAAAACTATCAAGCCTGAATACTAGCAAAGCTTGTGGCCCAGATCATATTCCAGCCGGACTATTGAAGGAATTTGCTTTTGAGTTTGCGGAGCCTCTTACATCTATTTTCAACAAATCCTTGGCGTCAGGAATTGTCCCAGCAATTTGGAAAGACTCTTATATAACACCTGTTCAAAAGATTCCCAAAAGCGAAAACGATATTAGACGTATATTCCTAACCTCCATTCTATCGAAAATTCTTGAAGATTTTGTTGTTTGCTGGATGATTGAGGACATCAGTGATGATATTGATCCCCGTCAATTTGGCAGCCTTAGAGGGAGCTCTACAACATTTTGTTTACTGGACTTGATTGATAACTGGCTTAAGAATTTAGAGAACCCTGGAAGTTACCTGAGAGTATGCTTTCTTGATTTCAGCAAAGCATTTGACAGGATAACCACAATATCGTTATAGAAAAGCTTATCAACATGAAAGTAAGGCGGTCTATTATTCCATGGATCTCTAGTTTTCTAACATGTCGACGGCAAGCTGTGAAGTTTGAGTTAACTGTTTCACGATGGCTCCCCGTCACACCTGGAGTTCCACAGGGAACAAAATTGGGCCCTATCCTATTTATAATAATGATAAATGACCTCACAATATCTTCGCCAAAGACTTCAGACTGGAAGTATGTGGACGATATTACGTTTTCGGAAGTGGTTCAAGAAAATGGCGGTACTGAAAGTCAGGTAGTACTTGATAAAATAAATTCATGAGCATCAGCTAATGATATGCGACTAAATCCTAACAAATGCAAACAAATTATTATATCTTTCTTACGTGCACATGAACTCCCTTCAGCTCTTAGTATTGATGGAATGCCACTTGACCGTGTTGAGTGCCATAATGTTCTCGGCCTGACTCTTCAATCTAATTTAAAATGGAATATTTTTATAGAACATACAACATCGAAGGCCTCTAAGCGACTCCACATCTTACGTGTCCTTAAACGTAATGGTGTAAACGTTGCTGAACTCCTAACTGTGTATAAATCCCTTGAGTGCTCTGTTTTGGAGTATTGTGCTCCGGTGTGACACACCTCGATTCCAGCGTTCCTCTCCGACGAAGTAGAAAAGGTTCAGAAGCGAGCTTTCCGAATTATATATCCGGAAAATCATTACGATGAAGCTTTGGTGCTATCCGGATGCTCTCTATTAAGCGAACGTCGTTCTTTGCTATGCAAAAAGACTTTCAGAAAGATATGCCAGCCTACAGCACGGCTGAATAAACTAGTTCCAGATACAAGAGCAAATGTACATAATTATGAACTTCGTAATAATAAATCTCTTACTGTACCAAGATGTAGAACTGAACGATTTAAACAGAGTTTTATTCCTAGCATGTGTTTTAATCATTTTATTAACTAACAGGTCTTAACGTCAGATATTCTTGGAACATGGTATAATAACATTTTAGACACAATTCAATACTATAATATATTATAATGTGCTATCCTATAATCTATTGTAATTCTAATTTACTGTATATTGTAAGAATTAGAATATTTTTAGAATTTTAGAATTTTTAATGAATTTCGTACAATTTTTTTTACACACAAATTTTAAAGACAATTAGATAAGATATATACATAATATTATTGAAAAAAGAAGGAAAAAAAATATAATACATATTGCACGCAGTGATCAAAGTAGCAATAAGCTTTCGAGTTGATCACTGCCTCATTAAATTATTTTAGAGAAAGTTTAACAAGATATTTATATATGACAAATTAAATACAATATCATTGCCTCAAGGAATTAGAGGGGGGTGTTTGTGAAATAATTAGGAATTGAGTATATCTTTTTCTAAATATTGACATTGAATTTGATCGTTTGATTTCAGGATTAATAGACTCCCAAATTTGTGATGAAATAAATTTAAATGTTTGTATTCCATAATTAGTTCGTGCTTTTGGTCTACTTAAATTCTGTCTGCTAGCAAATCTGGTATTATGAGAGTGTTGAGCGGATACAACCTTAATACTACTGGCAAATACTGACGGGACATCATTTGTTTCTGCTAGAATTTTGTAAACAAAAGTTGCTATTTTCAATTGAAAAACATTGTCTAACTTTAGTATACCTAAAAGATTATAATACGGAGTTACATTCTCTTTTTTTCTTGCGAAAAATATGCTCCGTATGCACTTATTTTGACTGGAGCGCAATTTGGTTAATTTTGAAGTATAAGTGTTTCCCCAACTCATCAATCCATAATTGATATAAGGATAGATCAGTGAATAATACAGTTGCTTAAGCGTTTTCAAATCAACGTGATATCTAAGTTTATTTATGATTCCAATATTCTTAGCAAGTTTACTGTTGACATACTTAATCTGATAGTCCCAAGTAAGATGCTTATCAATATATATACCTAGATACTTAATATAATCCTTTTGTTCAAAGTTCCTTATCCTTATATTTCGAATCTTTTTCTTTTGAGAGGTTATTACCATAAAATTGGTCTTTTTAAGATTGATTGATAATTTATTAACCACACAGTAATGAAGAATTCTTTCTAGTTCCTCATTCATCACACTTTCCACATCATCAATAGATTTTCCAGAATAAAATACATTAGTGTCATCAGCAAAAATTCGAAATGAAAGTTTTTTAGCACAATTTGGCATATCATTTATGTAGAGTAGAAATAAAACTGGACCAAGTGTGGATCCCTGGGGTACACCACACGTGATGTTTAGTTTTTCAGAATCTATATTTCCTATTCGAACGTATTGTTGACGATTTGTTAAGTAATCTTTAAACCATTCAAGTGGAGTTCCTCTTATACCATATTTATATAGTTTAGATAACAATATTTCATGATTAACAGTATCGAATGCTTTCGAAAAATCTAAAAATAATCCACATGTTATTTCTCTATTGTCTATTGCAGTTTTTAGGCTATCCGAGAGCTCTAATATTGCTTGTTCAGTTGAGTAACCCTTTCTAAATCCGAATTGATAATCATATAAGATTTTATATTTTGAAGAAATAGCTGCAATTGATTATATACTAATCTCTCAAGAACTTTTGCGAATGGAGATAGTGTTGATATTGGTCGATAATTATTAGGATCCGTTTCTATTCCACTTTTATATTGGTGTAACACGTGAAATTTTAAGTATATCAGGAACAATACCTGTATTGATTGATTCATTATAAATAACAGTAAAAACGGGAGCAATTATAGGAGCAGCTATTTTTATCATTGCATTCGGTATATTAATAGAACTCTTGTTTATATCTAAAGCCAAAAATAGATCAAGTACTTGAGTTTCTATTACAGGTGACATTATGAAACTTGAAGATGGTGAATTTGATATATACCTAGTCGGGTTTTCATTAGATATTTCTATATAAGTAAGAATATCGCAATTCGCCTTTTGGCGCCATGATATTTTATTAAATAATGAATGAATGAATGAATGAATGAATATCATCATATTATGGCTGCAATTTATCCCATTCTGGTCCAGAGTCAGCCTCGGATTTTTCTATATCCTAAATCTGAGATTCATTGTATTTGTCGGATGCCCTTTTTGCCACAAAACCACATTTGTAAGTGGTGGACCTATCTTTTGCCACTCACAAATGGCAAGAAAAGTCAAGTTGGGTTTTAGGGATGTGCCGGATTTGGAAGATCCTGTCGTATCCACAGCCTCGTCCCCAGCCAGAACGTGTGTGGGGTTTGCGACGCGAAGCTCTTCTCCCACCCACGCGTATTTCTCCCGAGAGACCTTCACGCGCCGGGGACGACGTGTCCAGAAAAATATTGCCGGATATTTATTAGAATCATGAAACCGGGAAATTTGTTTCCTTTGACGTTATGTGGAACTGGAATAATTACAGCTAGGGCATGCAGAATATGTTTTCGAGATGTAAATGCAATGTTTTCCCTGACTGGTATCCGGTAGACTACTAATTCGGTTTCAAGAATATTTCCCCAAATTTGGAAATTTTACACAGTCTGCGCGATTCCGAAGATTACGCCTTGTTCGAATGTTGAAGACCTGCGTCCAATCTCTCTCACTAGCGTCCTATCCAAGGTTCAAGAGTCGTATGCTGTTGAGTGGGTACATGAAGATATAAAAGGAAAAGTGAGCGAAGCTCAATGGACCATTTGCATTATAGACTAAATTTTGGTCTAGACAAAAATTTCATCGCAGCTTGAAAGAGCATCACAAAATTAGTAATATTCCAAAGTTTCGTTGCGAAATGTTGTAAAATGCGGATAATATAGCCGTGCGAAATTTGCAATTTTCAGTCAGTTTGTATTACAAACGGGAAATTGATGCCCCAACACCCGATTGGGCTGTCAATTTCCCGTGCGTAATACAAAATGACTGAAAAACGGCAAACTTCGCATGGCTATATTATCCACAATTACAACATTTCGCAACGAAACTTTGGAATATTATTAATTTTGTGATGCTCTTTCAAGCTGTGATGAAATTTTTGTCTAGATCAAAATGTAGTCTATAATGCAAATGGTCCATTCAAAACAGGTTGTTCTTCAAAAATCGTAAACCTTAAATATTGAGCGCGCAAGGTATAATGGATAACTTCCTATTTAGAGTCGGGAAATTTGCTTTGCAACAATGCTAGGGCATATATGATCACTGTCGATGTAAGGCTATTTGGTTCACTAAGCTAATTGTACAATCTTAGGCTCCAAATAAGCAATACCCATCATACCTTGCGCGCTTAATGTTAAGGTTTAAAATTTTTGAAAAGATTCAGCTTGGGCTGTTGTGATCATGTGCCCTCTTTCCCAAGACTTTTAACTTCCAACAACTCACATGCACTGATCAATTTTATTGATCAATGATAATGGTCAAAAGTACGGTAAAATGAAGCTACTTTTTTAATTTTTTTGGTTGGATTTAACGTGACAAGGTAAAATAAGAAATGTTCTAAAAATTTGCCGCTGGGATTTGCGTTTTATTGCCTACTTTTAAAGTTATCGGCATTCGAATAGCGGCGTATAAAAGGGCGTAAGTTACCGTTTTACATATCATTACATTTACGTTTTACTTATCACATTTGAACTATTATATCAGTTGGTGTTATTCTGTGCGATTTATAGCGAGTATTATTGGAAAGAGGGCTTTCATATACGTTGTAATCACCAAATAAACAGCTCATGCACACATTTCTCCACTTCGTCGTAAGTTTACAGAGCAGATTTTATACTTTGGCACTGATATTTGTCTTCGATGTGAACATTTGTTCTTCTAGTTTAAGGTTATTTAAGAGTGATCCTGTCGCAAGTCTTCTACCAGCAACCCATCGACAAAATTTCATTTTAGTGTTGGCTTTGCCGTTCCGTTGGCTTCGCGTTACTTTTGTTTTAAATACCTTGATCGCGTTAAAAGAGTTATTTCGAGTTATTTTTAGACTTAACATTAACTTCCTTGTGATTTTATTGAGACGGAGCCAGAACTGAGGATTATAGAAAGCTTTATCTGTATCTTCTCAAAGTTGTAAACAAGATATGTTGTTTACGTTCAACACGCATAATATGTTGTTTACGTTCAACACGCATAATATTACATAACTCAAAATGATTCGAGTAAAACCGGTCTTTTGTTAAAAGGTAGACTGGTTAATAGAAATTGGTCTTTTTGAGTGACATAATCGTTTGTCGTCATCGATCCGTGTCGTTGAACAATGAAAAAAGTTGTCGTGAAATTAGTGAAGATAAAATTGCAGTTTGTGAGAAAACTGCGGGTGTACGGAGCGGGAACTTTTCGGATTTGAACTCAGCGTGTTCGAAAGTGTTAGTTCCCGTAAAAATATTTCAGTTCCAAGACATGGGAAATGAAAGTGAACGATATCGGGACGCAGCAAACGGGCTAAACTACCTACAATAACCAATTACGCATTCTGATTGGCTTAGGGCGAAATTGTCAACAAATGCGCTGATTGATCGAGAACGAAATCCGATCCCGGAACATAAAAGTTTTTAATCTATTATACGTGTGACTGTTAGAAAACTAAAGTCGTGTATTTCCTGGTTAATACTGTATGCTTTTGTTTTAGGTTCAGTGGACACCCATTCATTTGTACTGCAGACATTTACAGCAGTCACGTGGTGTCATGAGTGTGGACACATTTTATTTGGTCTTGTAAGACAAGGCTTTCAATGTACAAGTAAGTTATTTTAACACAAATTACATCTTTTTTATCGTCCCGTATATAGGAAAATCAAGAAAAAAGCGGATTTTTAAATCATAAAACGTGATCCCGCGTCTCCACACGACGTCAAACGAACGAAGCGACGTTGTGCTACCTTCAGACAACATGAGCTTTACGCGACACGCATGCGCAGTTAGAACATTATGGAATATAAATTATTTAGTATCAGTATCTAAGTGACTTTACTTCACATAATTACATCTCAGAAGTATTGGCAATAATCGATATTCGAGATGAGAAACGGAACAAAGTAGTTGTCTGGGCTATCATATTTCTGAATGAAAAAGCTCTTTTTCTTGTTTATTTATAATTTTTGCCAATTCTTATTTATTTTTTATCTAGAATGTGAGTTAATTTGTCATCGAAAGTGTACACATTATCGAGTTTTACGCGTTTGTCCACAAAAGCCTGCAAACGAATCAACCAGTGAGTGAATCCTACCTCCTCCGCATTCCGTAATGAATTTCCTCTTGGAATTTCCTAACTTCGTAAGGCGGAGTATGCCTGTTCTGTAGTAGCGACTGCGGGGTTTTATAAATGTTCACACTGTACTTTAAGAAAAGGCGTTTATTAGAATATTTTGTCTAGGGAATTCTCGCTCAGACTTGTTGTCTGCATGTTACGAAGGCAGGTATTTACACTGGAAACATGTAAACTATCGCCTTTAAGTGTGTTTATAAGTGAGTGTGGGGCGTTGTATGCTTGAAAGAACTCGACAAGAGTACAAACCTTATATATTGAAGGTAATTTTGAAATTTTGAAGGTAAAATGTAATTTTGAGTGAAAAATAACAAAAAGTATTTCTGTTCTTTAGATCCTGTGTTTATTCCTATACCTCAGGACAATATTGTCCCAGCAATTGTGAAGAAATGTATCGGAGCAGTCGACAGCAGAGGTCTTAATACACGGAACATTTATAAAAAAGAACCCGAAGATTGGGTCTCGAAATATGCGTTAAGAAAGGACCTGTATAATGGTAAAGATTATTGTACAGTTTGAATTAATTGGTAATATTATCTCGTAGTGTATTGTGATCAAGTACTTAATCAACACTTTATTCTTAATTATCACGTTGTGATACGGAACGAAATAACGATTAATCTTCGCTCATTTGATCAATAATTGCTAATACTGGACACTGAGACACACACACACACACACACACACACACACACACACACACACACACACACACACA